TTTTATTAAATTGTTAATGTAAAATCATTCCCAGTGCATTAAATAGGTTATCAATTTCACCACTAAGCAGCATGAAAATACCTTAATTAACTATGTTATTTTGTTTTCTTTGTTTTGCTGTCAAGAACAAAGCTACACAATGGATTGTACATGCTGTGACCACCACGGGTATCGAAACCCGGTTTTTAGTATTATAAGCCTTCATGTTTATCGCTGAGCCACTGAGGGTCAACAGGATTGTAATCAATCATTTCAGATCCGTCAAAGGATATACCATACGTGTTTTTGTGGAAACTTCTTCATCTGTTTTGTTTGGAATACTTAGTGGCATTAATGTTTTGGACTTTTGATTATATGTTGCGATAGCTACAAAACATCTTATATAATATTTAAACAAAAAATAAACTTTTTACAATAATACGAAAGCAAAACTTTTAATTACTTAATTTGAAACATCGAATTTCATTAGCTTACCAATAACATTCCTTTTACCGCAAACTAAGCTACATTAAATAAATTATAAAAAAACTCAAGGTAGCCAGGTGTGGGTTAGTGGTTTGCGTTCCGAACTGTAAATCCGAGGGTCCGTGGTTTGCTTCCTGTTGACGTAAAAACACGCTCCGCATTTTGGGTCTGTGAGTGCCTTATAATTTTTTGTTTTTGTTGTTTAGCGCAAAGCTGCACAATTTGCAATATGTGCTCTGCCAAACTGGGTATCGAAATCCGATTTTTATCGTTATAAGCCCTCAGACTAACCGCTAAGCCATCGAGGAATGCATTACAAGAGTGGCAGCTAAGTCTCACTTTTCGATTATTGTAGTCCAATAGCTGATGATGGGTGCTGTTGACTAGCTGCCTTCCCCCATCACCAACTGTTGTATCACTTCAAAATAGAGACGGTTGGTATGAAAATTCTAAAGAAAGAAAGAAAAACATCTCAAAGAAGAACAATACAGAATTAAACTAACCAGACCATAAACATATTAGTAGAAATTAAGTTTACACATTTACAAAACTACATAAAACTTGAGAAGAAAACAATATAAATTGTAATATTTTCATAACAGTATCTTCCTTAAACAGCCAAATACACGAAAAGATTCAAATAAGTATATATAAATAAGCAACGTAAATTCATCAAAACAGTAAACATCGCTTACAGTTTAACCACAAGCACGTTCTTCTAAAGCACAACAAAATTGTTACAGTGTCAATGATCAAAATTTAAAGTAAGCAATAGGCCCATTGGTGAAAAAGCGAAGTCAACCACTATTAACTTTATTGTTTACATTATTCGATAGCCAAGAGATTTCTAGTAACCATAAAATTTACCCCTTCTCCAGCATGGATTTTCAGTTATTATTGGGCGTTAGGGGCTGTATGACAGTCAGAGTTCTCTCGTGTGAAAACAGTGTTAGGCACCTTTAATTTTTTTTATGTTAGTGTATATAATTTTAATGTTCTGCGTTTTAGCAAAACGTAACTCTGCTTAATAATATCTTAACTGTTTTAATTTATAAAACCAATACAGTGGTGTAGGAAACGTGGGAGCGGGATCTCCCGCTTTTCAATCTGTCCCAGTAAACATGCATTAAAAATAGGAAATTTTCTCTCAGGAAAAGCAGGAGAATACATAAAATTTAATCTAGAACCCAAGAGCTTCCAAGGCCCTAAGGCGAGCCATGGACAACTGCCCGCTTCGCTCGATCAAATAAACCTTGGAATCCTCCATTTTTAATTTTCCACCTACACCACTGCAATATAACTGTAAGGATATTTGTAAGATTCTCGGCCACCTTGCAGGAAACAGGCACATCGACCTATACTTTTTTCATTATTAGAAAAGAGGGCGTAAGATGTTTTATAAGAAATGGGTAATTCAACCCTACTCAAGCATTTATTATTATACCTGATAAAAACATTCACTTGTTACCATAAGTGTTACATTCTCGGCCACCTATAGAAAATTTAACTCAATACTCTCACTTTTTTATAACTCGTAGTTTAAATATGAAATTCTCTATCATTGAACAGAAAAATATATTCTGCGATCCTCATATTTCATAGTGTTAGAGACGTGGCATGAAACATACTACAGTACATGTGAAATATTTATACTGTTTTTGTTGCCGTTAGGGTATACCTGCGATTCTCGGCCGCCTAGTGGGAAAATGAGTGTAACAAACATTAACTTTCGATGCTCAGTAAAACTGTATGAAGTTTCTAATAATTAAAACCCAAGGATACGATTGTTATCGACGCTATATAGTTTATAAGCTGTTCTCTGAATCAACGCTAATTGCTGAAAAGATTATCACGTCTGTCATTAGATCTTTGTTGGTCATGTGTGGCATTGTGTTGACTGGTTGGTCGTTTTAACCCTAAAACATTATTATGAAATATTTTGTTTTGTTGAATTTGCGCAAAGCTGCACGAGGGCTATCTGAGCTAGCTGTTCGTAATTTAGTAGTGATAGACCAGTGGGAAGGCAACTGGTCAACTCCACCCATCACCAGCTCTTTATCAACGAAAAGTAGGATTGACCGTCACATTATAATGCTGCTACAGCTGAAAGGGTAAACACGTTCAGTGACGGGATTCTAACCCGCGACCCACAGATTACGAGTCAAGCGTCTTAACCACCATGCCATACAATCTAACATACTAACTACATTATATTATGCACACTATTTAATAAATGGATTTCTAAGAGATGAGACTGTTGAAACGGTCGCTAGGAACCGATCCTCCTCGTACACCACATGAATTATGGAAACCACAAGGGAGGAGTGGTGTGGTTTGGACTTGACAGGATTACAACGGAGTTTATTGCAAAGTAAATTATGCTGTAGGGCTATTGTCAAAGTGGATGTCTTCAGATGGAGCATGATGGGACGAGGTGACGTGGTATGGCTCCAAAATCGTTTTAATATAACGTACTAAACTTCTGTATTATCGAGTGCAAAAAAGTAGAATTCACAAATTGTCACTCTGACATGAAACATTTATTTGATTCTAGGATTTTTTTTCAATTTTATAGTGGGCTAAATGTTACTTCTCACTGAAGCATTATTGTTAAATAAGTTTACCTCCTCTAATGTTTCAAAATTTGGGATTAAAATAGCTAATGCATTTTCATTTATTCTTCGTCACTATCTGACTACGTCTTGTATTTTATTATATTCCGTACAGCTCAAGCATAACCTCATAAATTTGTTTGTCGCTATTTTTGTCTGTATTAAGAATAACTGAAGTATGACCTGAGGAAATAAAATACAGCATTTTACCCCGCAAATAATTTTATTAACTTTCCAAACTATTTAAACATCAAATGCTAATATACTGCTCAAAGAAAAATTACATATTCCCTACAGTGTAAAAAAACAACATTCAATTTAATAAGGACTTAATACTTAATAGTATACGTTGATTTCTTTTGTAGTCCATAACAACTATTAACCAATCAATTTGAATTAAAAAGTTGCTGGGCAATCATTTCTTTATATTATTCCACGAAAGTTAATTATAAAGATACGCGTATATCAATATTTTTCTGTATAGGCATTCAGCAATCACTAAACTCATGTAGAAAGTGCCGTTACTCTGCCCAGAATTACTTCTCATGCAGTAAATTTCAAATCGTCACTTGTTTCTATTAGAGAATTATCTCAATATACCAGAGAACTGGTGTGCGTCGACAGTTATATTAAGAACTATCTCAATATACCAGAGAACTGGTGTGCGTCGAAAGTTATATTAAGAACTATCTCAATATACCAGAGAACTGGTGTGCGTCGAAAGTTATATTAAGAACTATCTCAATATACCAGAAAACTGGTGTGCGTCAACAGTTATATTAAGAAGTGTAATTACTCCTCTGAAATTCGTTTATGGCATCAAGTATAGTGGCACAACTTGTGTTTGTTTGCTTGTTTCGGATATTCGCGCGAAGCTACGCAAAGACTATCTGCACTACTAACCCAATGACTTGTAACTGACAGACTATAGACAAAGTAGCTAGTCAAGAGCATACACACCAAAATTTCTGCTACTTACAAGCGATATTTTGGGCTAACAAGACGCAAACCATAGACCCTCAGGTCCATAGTCCAAGATGATAACCAATGGGCCACGCACTGCTCACTAAGTGGAATCAAATAATGTTGTGTAGGTATGAACCGTGCAATCCTTGTTTCGCACATTTAACGAGTTAGTAGATATGTTGAGTTGACACACCATAAAAGTAGTTTTCTTTCCTGATATAAGACAGGAAATTTTTAAGATGGTCAACTTTTTATTATGAATTCAAACTATAGCCCTATACAAAAATATTACTATAGAGTTTTTGATAAACTATATTAATCTTAATGGCAAATAGGCAAATTTAACGGTGGTTAAATGTTTTTGAGTAAATCACTAGGGCTAAATTAAACCTTCAAAATGTAATGCATTTTTGAGATACGACATCTTATAATAGTTTAATTTTTCTCGCAGAAGATAGACAGCATAAGTATTTTCAGAATGTCTCGTTTGTTATTAATTTCGCGCACCGATAGATGGCTCTAGATATTTTATGGTGTGATATTTACAGAAATGTCGTGTTATGACAGTTCTGAGGAATTCATTTGGAAACAATCCGAGGTCACGTTTTGATGTGATAATCTTATGTTGCGCGATTGAACTAGGTTTGTTTTGAATTTCGCGAAAAGCTGCACGAGAGCTATCTGCACTAGCTGTCCCTAATTTAGCAGTGAAATACCACCCACCGCCATATCTTGGGCTACTTTTTTTAAACCAACGAATAGTGGGAATGACCGTCACATCATAATGCTTCCACGGTTGAAAGGGCGAGCATTTTTGGACCCGCAAGTTGCGAGTCGAGGTCCCTAACTACCTGACCATGTTCAGAATGTCATTTAACCTTTTTGAAATTAAGAATACAATGACATTTTTAACAAGCCATAATCTTGTAATCTTTCCGTAAAAACGATTATCAAATAGTGGTAAAATGTCTTTATAATTATCTATGTTAATAACACACTGCAAATTTGCTATTATCAATTGATCATCAAGATTCTGTAAAACGAGTTGAACATTTTTACTGAAATCAACAAGGCTTAACCGTTCATAATTTGGATATTTATCACAGCACAAAGTGGACAAATTTGAAGACGTTGTTTTTCTTTAAAAGTTTCACCTGTTTATATTCGTGAATAGCTACACAAGGGATATCTGCTCTAGTCGTCCCTATTTTTGAACTAAGACTATCAAAGAAGGCAGTAAATAGCATTCACTGACAATTCTAACTTGGGCTACTCAAATTCAAAACTGGACTTGACTATCACTCTCATATTTTTTCTTTTATATTTGGCAACGGAATACAAAACATAGACCTTCATAACTACAGTACCGGTACACTAATCATTATTCCACGCCCGACCCATTTCTAAAAGGACACCAAATATTAACTCTGGATAATTAATGAAATGTTTAATTTTTTCACACTTTATAATCCAACTTAATTTTTGTAGAAGGTTGTAAAGATTAAACTAAAAAACCATTAAGACTTAATCTTTCAAAAACGTGAGGTCATACGGAGCTTTTTATAATTCATAATCCAACCAGTCTTAATCACACGAGGTAGATAAATTTTAAAGAAATCCTATGTGATAACGAATTACTTTTTGAACATAACCCAATTAATTGTTTTTATTTCAGTCATCATTTCATCAGTGTGGCTTCATAATGGTTAGTACTATAAGAACCCGTAGCCCAATAAATATTTCTGGCAAAACATATAGAAGTTTAAAATATGTGAAATTTTTACCATAAAAAAAAACACCAAGACTAATCCTAATATTTCTGGCAGAAGAAAAGCAACTTCTTCCAAACGATCAGAATTTTCACGAAAACTACTAATTCTTAACCTTTCAACAAACTGAATAAATAGTGATTTTTGTATCATTATACACTTATTCTCTCTCACTGCCAAGAAAAAGCTTGATAAACTTTTGCTGGAAATACCAATGTTTAACCCTTTGAAAAGTTCGCTATAACCCAGTTTAATTTGGAAAACAGAAGTAAGCTTTCTAAATTTTCAAAATAATGCTTACATTATAAATTAAACTTATAAGGACAGGTTTTCTAAGGACCCATTTAATCTTAAACAGTCATTAAGCAGAATTGAAGACACAAACATTTTCACAAAAACACTAGGGTTGTAAGCCTCAAAGTTTTCAAAAAACTATTTACATGTTAATTTTTCTGGAAGAAGATGGCCAAATGTTTCCTAGAAAACGGCAAGGTTTAAAATTTTAGAAGTTCAAGGAGATAAAGTATTATTTGATAAACAATCACCATATTTATCCTAAAGCTGAGTACATAATGAATTTTCTGAAAAACTACAACACAGTTAATCTTTCTGAAAATGGCCAAAACTGAGCATTATCAACATATTCCCCAAATATCTATCTCTTAAAATTTTATAATATGTTTTTCAACGTATGTATAACCCATTAATTTCCTTTTGGCTAGTTGTCTGACAGAAGAATGGTAAATTTAATGGTTGTCAAAATCATTAAATAACAACACCCAAGCTTAACCTTTTTACATAATTAAAGATCTGATGGAATTCTGATTTAATCTTTATCAGAAGAATTGAATTTCTTCACAATAAAACACCAAACCAACCCTTATGATATCTGATGAGTTTATTGCACTTAACAGGTAACCAACCAAAAATTTCTGGCACTTGAAATGGTCAAATTTATCATTAAGATGCCAAGACTTAAGTCTCTGATAAATTTTATGAGATTACGTTTTGTTACCCTAGAAGCACCCTAGCATTTCTGTGACAAGAACTAACAAAGTGAAAATTTTATAAATAGTTTTAATAAGCCATAATAAACCTAATTATTCTAGCAGAAGATAAACAAAATTGATGGTGATAACATTACAATAAAACATTGAGTTCTATGAAATTCTTATGATAGATTTCATATTATATATTCCACAGCAGACTAAATATTTTAAGAAAAAAAAGCAAAATTTGAAGAAGATCAAACATTTTTAACTAAAACAACCAAAATGTAATTCTTTGGAAATATGTATTTTTCTTATGACAGTTTAGGTAACCTTGCTGACAAGAAATACAGTAAATCACACTATCCCTTTCCACTTTAAATGTTTAAATATTTTGAATGATAATCCTATTTCAAAGAAATATATATAAATTTCAAAATTAATACTAAAATATCCTAGGAAAATGAATTACTTTAAATTACAAATTAATAACACTTTACTCAATAATAGATATGGTATTTATAAGAAATAACTGAATTTTGTGAAAACATCTCTAAGTTTTCCATTTTTTCTTCTTTACATTGTTCAATTCCATATTATTTGAAGTATAATATAATATTATCTTAAGTATGAGATCTGAACTATTATACTTTACATCACTGTAAGTTTTAGTTCGTAGACAAGTATGTTACTTTTAGTATTTTTAATCTTCAAAGCTTCTTAATCTTTTTATTGAAATATCAAGAGAGTTTTACCTTTTACAGATTAATAGTGTTCTTTTTATAAAACATTGGTTCTATGAACATGCTCAAGACACAAGATTAACTGCATGGTAACTGTGATTATAAAGTTACTTTAAACAATCCTAATTTTTATTTAGTTTACCAATACAAATAATAATGAAAGAAACTTTCACATGCTTATAAAGCATACAAGCACCTACATTACTATGAGACTATAAACTTGCATGATAGTTACATCAGTTATAAGTTGTTAGATAAAATGTCTAGATATGAGTGGATGATGTAACATATGATTTTAACATGAAAACATCCATAAGATCCCCCAATTATTTTTAGAGCAATATTAAATACCCATTTAAATATGCCAGATCATACCATTTATAAAATAATATTCTAAGAATATGGAGTAAAAGTATCTTAATCTATAGTTTTTTTGCTATTATACTAGCATTTCTTTATCTTTACCTTTAGACAACATGCCTATATAAAGCCACAAAACAAGAGCACGAAACATTAAAGATTTCTATTTAAAGAAAAGCAACTTTTATTATTATTAAAACATACTTCTGGCCAATAAATATTTTTAAACCTTTGCATTCAAATATATCAAATTAATTGTGATAGCACAGCAACAAGGCTTAGCAAAATAGCTGTCATCACTTTACTCAAAAGACAAACTAAAGAGAAGACTGATAGCTCACCAAATATACATGCTTTAAGCACAACTATTCAGTTTAATGTTTTCCATGATATAGCTACATTTGAAATTGAGTTTCTATTCCAATTTTACCCATCAATCAAGTAGTTTCTCATATTACTTCCTAATGTTCAAATGGCATAAGTTTTACTGTTATCTTCTTCATCTCCGAGTCCTTTCATTATGCTCAGGTATCATTTTTCTCTTAGTTTTCTTTCCTACAATTGAAAATTTCATTTTTATGTTTTTATAGGAATATATTCACAAACACGAGTGTTAACATCATATTTCACCAACTTTTATACAGATAGAAAATTTCTCGAATGTTCTCACTTGCTCAAACATATGTTTTTACCTCACACATATGGAGTGTTTGGATGCTTTATATTTAAACACAGTGAAAATTAACAATGTCAGCACCTAAAAATCTTTTTTTTTAAGATCAGTTCCTGCAAACTAATCCCACTGTGAAACACGTTCTTTCACAACAAAAGTGAAATGTTCTTGAATACACTATAAGTTTTAGTTTCTAAAATTCATTTAGAAACCTGTTGCTTCAAGTGTTGCAGAAATTCATAGTAGGAAAAGGCTGACTCAGACCTATCATCCACCATATGTTGAAGAAATCTGTACTTCTCCTTACTGTCTTCCCTGGATAACAAAAAAATTTAAATCAAACATTCTGACTGACAAAAGGCAGGTCATTCAAGCTTTTGTATTTAGACATTAATGATTAAAAGTTCAATATTTTATCCTAATATTTTTGTCAACTAATAGCAATTACTTTAAAATAAGAAAACTTTCAAACATTTCCAAAATGTATTTTCTAAGAGACTTTCAAATCAAGAACCAAAAGCTTCCCAGAATATGTATAATTTATTCTACACACAAAAACTTTTCCATGCTGTACGACATGTGAAGAATTTTATAATCTTTGTACTGAATAATTTATGATGCTTCAATTATTTTACAAAAATGTCATTTCAGAATTCACTATAAGGGATTATATAACATCTCCAACATGTTTTCAGTGCTCAGCTATTAATTTGGGTTTCTTACTTCAATTATGTGAATAACTAGAAATATAGGCTTTTTTATTATCAACATAACCACAGTGAAAAAATGTGAACCATTTTCTACTTTTACTTTATTATACATTGTACATTTAATAAGTGCTAAATTTATGCTTAAAAAAAATTAAAAGTATGTCACTATTTATAAGTAAATAAATATTTATACTTAAAGAATGAACTACCTATCCTCTACTATATCTCTGAAATTGGGTACGTGCAATTATGGTTTATAAACTTGATCTGAAAGGTGACTCATGATAAATTAGACTTATAATACCCTAGGGCAGTGTTTCCCAGACTATGAGTCGCGACCCACTGGTGGGTCGCAAGCGGAATGTTAGTGGGTCGTAAAAAGTTATACTAGAATTATACATTAGCTTCGATTAAACACAGTCTGTCAAGATAGTTTAAGACTCGGGCTTTCATTGTCAGGCTGTTATTGTATCAAGCAGTATGTTGTTTTGACGAGCTTAACGAATCAGGGTT